AAAGGAAGAGTAGAAGGAGGAGGAGAGAGAGAAGGAGGATCGAGGAGGAGGAGGAGGATCGAGGAGGAGGAGGAGGAGGAGGACGAGGACGAGGAGGAGGATCGAGGAGGAGGATCGAGGAGGAGGATCGAGGAGGAGGATCGAGGAGGAGGGTCGAGCAGGAGGGTCGAGAAGGAGGATCGGGTCGGAAAAAACAACGGCGGGCCCGGAGCGCTAATCCGATTGCGTCTGCAAGTGTTGTTTATCGGGTGGAAGTTTTGTTTCTTCGCCGGAAGTGTTGGAAGTAGCCGGATTGGTAGCGAAAGCGGGCTGTTTGGTGACACAGATGCCCGGCAAGTGCAAAACCACCTCCTAGCAGTTCAGTTTTCTAGACCGCAGTCTAGTTTTCAGCCCGGCGTTCAGAAAATCTAGCCGGCAAAAGCACGAAACCATGTCGTCGGAAAAGCCCTCGCTGAGACAGTGCATTTCTTGCACTTGAAGCATTGTTTTTTGACAGTATTGCCAGTCATGCCACTTTGACATCGTAACAATGCACTTGCGCGCAAACCAAATTCGAACCAGCAGAGTGATTGGCCGAACGGTATTACTGGCAACCCCGACCATCCGCTGCGGCTGGAAGCAGCCGAATAGTCTAGATCTAAGTGGTGCGAAGCATTTAAGAGCAGCTTTTAGGAGAAATCTCTTGTTATTGTTGCCTATATCTTGTTATTTAAGTGAGATCGGTTAAATTTAGGAGCGCCGCTGTTATTTTTTGGAGATCATTTCCTATGCGTGCATCACCACCCTCAAACCTAGAGATAAGAGATCTGGTTGACGAGGCCGAACGTCTTTACACTGTCCCTGGGTGCGCGTCTGGCTTCAGTGATGCGGTGTTTAATTTTGTCGTTGTTGTTACTGGTATTCGCGATCCTCGCCCCGCGCCCCGCCGCAATGCACGCGCGACCCGCCCAGCGCCCCGCCCGCCCGCGCCCCGCCTCGCAGGAGACCTCGATAGAAATCCAAGGCGCTATCTTATCGACACGCCCCGCGACCGCCGCGAGCGGCTGAATTGCGGCTTCGTTGGCCACGTCATAAGGGTTTGTTCCATTTGGGGTCAGTGTTGTTATTTTTGCTCGTCGTCGTCCTACGATCCGTCGCGCCCCGCTCGCGGCCCGCCCAGCGACCCGCCCGCCGGCGACGTACCCCACATGGGGCCCCGATAGAAGCCACCGAACCAGATTTATCGCCCCGCCCCGCGACCTTTCGAACGCGGTAGATTTGGGGGACTTTTGAGCCATCTCAGAAGATGACCACAACGTAAGTTTATTCGATTGCGCAAAGCATGAAAAAACAATTACGTGTTAGGGGAACGAGGAATTGAGAGCGACTGCCCGTTTTTGCCCACTTGATCGCCGCCCACATCGCTGTAATCACCATCATCGCGCGGAGGGTGGGGGGTTCTCAGGGGCGCTTTGATCTTCGCGTCGTGGGGAAAAGCACGGAAGTCAGAGGTAAAGTTTTCGACCCCATAGTTTGACCTCTGACTTTTTCGGCGGAGGGGGGGCCCTGCAGGCAAGGCCCACCTACCCATGGGTAGTTCCTCTCGCTCCCGTTCCTCCTCCGTTCCTCCTCCCCCTCCTCCTCCTCCCATTTTCGCAGTCGCCCTCCTCATCACCTCTTTCCCAATTCGTGTTCGTCCTGGTCAGCCTCCGCCCCAACTCCTCGCCCTCCTCACTCAATTCCCCGTTGGCCCAACTACTTATTTAAATAAGTAGTTGACTCAACTACTCATTTCTCAAGAAATGAGTAGTCCAGCGTTTGGGCGAGCAATGTGACACCACATATGAGGAGTAAAACGCGTCTCAAATGCAACCTCCTTGTTGCACCATGCCGAGCACTCCATGCCCCTGGACCCCTTTTTGCAATGCAGGGAGCAGCAGAACACGGGTGGCCCTGCATATGAGGAATAAAACGCGTCTCAAATGCAGCCTCCTCGGCATGGTGCAACAATGAGGTTGCATTTGAGACGCGTTTTATTCCTCATATGCAGTGCCACCCGTGTTCTGCTGCTCCCTGCTTTGCAAAAGGGGTCCAGGGGCATGGAGTGCTCGGTATGGTGCAACAAGGAGGTTGCATTTGAGACGCGTTTTGTTCCTCATATGTTGTGTCACATTGGGCGAGCGTCGTCGCCGGAATCATTCATCCCGCGATGTCGCCCAAGACAGTTATGTTTTGAGTATGGTTTCCTTTTCTGGGGCGTCTCGCAAAAAAAAGGTGTCTCGTTTTCTTGGTCTCATATTTAAGGGCGTCTCGAATTCTGAAATCGAGCCGCTTAATTTCGAGACGGGGGTTTCGAAAACGCGGTCTGCTTTGATTGCAGCCGCTTCGAAAGCGGCGGTTTTCGAGACGCCGCGGAATCGAGACCAACCCGCCCTTCACTCGTATCCGCAACCGAAAGGCTTTATATGGGCTTACACATTGCCCTGTCAAGCGGAGACCTGCGCTTGACGTTCGTCTGGCGGGCTCGTGGCTGGTGCCCGAAGCCTGCCCCTCTCGTGGCCTGCAGCAGGGTATCGCCGTCCGTACCCCTCGTGGCCTAGTGGCGCTGGGATTGAAGGCTGGGGGATCGTAGCTCGCAGCCCGTCGCGGCCAGTTCGCTCTGTGTGTCGCCGCCCACGCCCCCTCATGTCCATTGCCGTGTCTTGGGATGTACAGATAAGGCGGTGGATAGTGATGATGACGATGGCGATGATGATGCGATGATGTTTTTTTCATCATGTGGCCCCTCCCAGGGCCCTGTACCTCGTAATTGCAACTCTAGGGACAGTGCTACTCATGCCACCACCGCCTCTCGAATGGGCTAGCTCGCTGATGAAACCGACGAAATCTTCGTCTTTGTATGCCCAGAAGAGCCGAGGGTTGCTGATTACTGTCCCCATGTATTCTGCCATCTCCTGCCACATGTGCATTTTTGGTTTGCACTTCCAAAAAACTTTGTTCTTGGCTTCGGAAGAGAGCGATTTATAGAGCAGCAGACACTTTCGACACGAGCTTGCTGCACGATCAGCATCGTATACATCATTGCCCATTGTCGTGTAGAAAAGAAACAAGCACCTCAACATTTCCAGCACAGTGAGCGAATGGACGGTGCCGTGGAACTCGTGCATCTTCTCTGCCAAGCACAATCCGAATGGAACCATGTATCGAGTCTCCGCCCCCTTCGCGCGAAATTTGGGTGATTTTGATTGCCTTTTAATCATCTCCAGAGTCAAACCATTCACGCGAACAGGAGTGCGGCACTCTTTGTAATGCTCCTTGACGAGAAGGAGCAACTGGTCCACTCGTTTTTCCTGCGTCGTCTCTGAGAAGAAACCTTTCGATGCGATAGCCTCCCAAAACAAATTCCCAAGTATATCTTGAGAGACGCCCAGATCCAAGCAATGTAGGACATCAATTGTGAGCATGATCGCGTGGAAGCACGGCGCCCCGAAGAGGGGGCTCAAAGGGACCCCTGAATTGCTGAGGATGCTAAGCATATCGCGCACGTTGTGTCTGCATTTTCTCCACGCTGCTTGGATGCTGAAATCGTTGTACGGCTTATCGCCATCTGGCTGCGTGGCCCCGCAGAGCCCACAAATTGATTTGGATGCCCAGCCGCTGAATCCAAATATCGTCTTGTAGAATTGCCAATCTCCTCGGATCTGCAACAATATTGAATGGAATCCAAAATCTCTGCCATGCTTCAGTTTCGCCCGGCTCTTGTCTGACGGTAGCCACTCCAACGAGTCGTGCCGCGAGGTAGGAAATTGGCCCATGTACAAGCACCGGAGACTCCACAAAAATATATCGAGAATGCCATCTATTGTGCATCGCCCCTTGCACCCGCATCCACACATGAATTCTTTTTCAACCATTGCGAAAAGAAAACGCTCCGACGATGGGAAAGCCAACACATTCCAACTATATACCTCGACTGTTTTACGTCGTTGATGGGGCACTCCATCGCCGTGGAAGCCGATGCAAATCAAGTGCCCGCCCGACAGATGCGGCGCCCCGCGCGTGACCTCGGCTCGCAGCGCTTCGAGCCCTGAAGGCACGGAGCAGAGGTCGCCCCACGATTCCCCAGCCTTCTGCACGAGCAGATGTAGCAGCTCGTGAGGAAGGAGAAATGGCATCCACACATCCTCTCTTTTGATGCCCGTCTTGGGGTTGCAGCACGGTACTTTCGCCCAATACAAGTCGGGCATGTCTGTTCCTTTCAAGCACGCCCTCAGCATGTCCCGACACATATTCTTTGGCTCGGCTCCACGGGAACCAACCCTTGCAAAATCATCGACTCCTCTGGCCCCAGCTTGACTCGACTTCGAAGCCAGGAGCTGGGCATCCAGGGCAGACATTTTGTTGCGTAGGAAGAGCCGACTCAAATGGGATCTGTAATCGCTGATGTCCGCATCGCTGGGGGCCGAGCTGCTGGCGGGCGTAGCTGCCGCGCTGGATGGTCGAGCAATTGCGACGGCGCGGGCGTCCATGACATGTTGCTTTGAGCCCCCCGTTGGCCTGCATCTGGTGTCGCACGAGTGCTTGCCATATGGCCCATCGGCTGTGCGCGCGGCTCGCTGTTTGTGCCCAGTCCCGGGATACATGCGATCCGCAATGCAGGCTCGAGCCAAAACGGCTATGGGCGAAAGCTGAATGGGCGACAGTTGCCAGAGGCACGCGCTGCGACGATTGTTATAAGGAATACAAGCAGAAACAGGAGCGGAGGGGCCCCCTCTCGAATCTGGCAGGCACGCGCTCACATTTACCCAGTCACGCAATCAGACGCGCCGCCGGCGCCCCCCTCCAAACAAAAAAGCCAATAGGATGGTTGCGAGCATGCCCATGGCACGCGCCCCGAGCCCGACCCTGAACAGGATGCGACACCCTCTCTCTCTCTCTCTCTCTCTCCCTTGTCTGCCTTCCTGTCTCTGTCTCTGTCTCTCGCCGCCTCCCACGGCAGTCAGCGCGCGCCGAGCCCGCTCAATTGGTCAACCCCTTCTGCACGAGGGACACGGCCCCCTCGGTGAAGGTGTCCAGGGCAGACTCGCAATCCTTGAACTCTTTGTCGTATTTCGCTTTGTTCTTGGCCCACTTGAGGGGGTCCACGGCGCTGGTATCCTCGATGAAGCGCGCCATCTTGCCCTTCTTGGCCTGCAGCGTAGACAACTGCGACCACATCTGGGTCACGAGCTTCGCCGTGACGAGAGTGCCTTTCTTTTTGTCCTTCACCAAATCGTACTTCGCCTGCAGCTTCTCCGCCAAGTCGGTCTGTTTTCCGACCTTGGTCTTCAGCGACGTGTAAGACGAAATCCATTTCGCCTTCTCCGCCGTTGCCTGCGAGATGGCGTCGGCCACGCATCTGCGACACCGCATTCCCAGGATGAGCCCAGGCAGAAGCTTCGTTCCAGCGCGCGCGGCCGGAACCAAGCTGAGCCCCCTGAGCACTCCGAGAAAGCAGGGCCACAGCGGCGCAGTTCAACGCAATCCCCAGCCTCGCGCAACTTCTTGTCTTCGGGCTTCTCGTCCTCGATCGCCTTGGGGACCTTCGCCTTCTTCGCCTTCTTGTGGACGGGCTGCTCGACGAAGTCGTCGTCCATGAGAGCGATCGAGTCGTTGACCTCTCCAGCGTCGACCTTGTCCTTCGTGCCCTTGACGGTGATAGCCTTCCTGCGCTCGGATACGTGGTTGTCCACCATCCTCTTCGAGTAGTCGTACTGCAGCTCGCCCTTCTTGGCCAAAGCAGGCTTTTCAGAAGCCCTGGTGGGGCAGCCCTCCACGAAGTCGTACAGCTTCTGCATCGTCGCCTCGTTCTCTGGGTTGCACGGGAACTTCTCCAAGTCAGCGACTTCCCAGATGTGGAGCCATCCGCTCTTGATCGCCTTCTGGCTCCGACTCGTCAGGGACTGCTCTTCGATCTGCTTGAAAAATGACCCGGCCCTGTCCAGCGCCAGCTTGACGGCCAAGGAACGTTTCGCCTCGTAGCTCTTGGTGTTCTTCCACTCCTGGAGGGGAAACTCCCAACCGTCCTTGGCCAAGCGCTTCAAGTGGTCCGTGACTGCTTGCGCCCCTGCCTGCCCCAGGGGTTGGCCTGGCTTTAGATCGGCCAGGCGGTCCAAACCCTTCTTCTCTGCGTCGGTCTTCTCGTGCGGCACCACTGCCGTCGCCGAAGCTGCAGCCGGCCTCCTCATCTTTGCGCTCTGGGGGGTCTTGCGAGGCACCTGCTTTGCCATGCTCGGTGGCCAGCGCAGGTATGGAGTGTAGGAAACCTGAACGCGCCAGCTCGGGGCGAAAGGGCTGCGCGGAAGGCCGCAGCGGGGTCGCCGAGACGCCGTGCGGGATCCCGAGGGCCAGAGTTTCAGAAGAGTTTCAGATCTGAAACTTCAACGCTGCATGTTACAAATGTGCATTTTGTATGGAACTGTCAATGAAAACCAATGTTTCTCATCGCGGAAAGCGCTGTCTGAAACTACAAAGTTTCAGATAGTTTCAGGCGCCGACTGCGCCCTGGGAGGAGGGAGGAGGGACGGTGGGGGGAGGGGGAGAGGAGGAGACCGATGCACGTTTCTCACAGAAGCCGCCAGGAACTCCATAGCAGCGCAAGTGTCCACATATCAATGAGTCGTAGCGTGATTGAGACGTGCAAACGCGAGCTGAGATCTACACAGCAAGGACGCGTACTCTGGCGCCTACTGAACCCTACGGCCTAAACCCATTCGCCACTGCATTCTTCAGCGACCTGTATGAGACTCCGCCAGGCGACGTCCATATATTGTATGTCTGGCCCCTCTTGCGATCCGCGCCGCCCCTCGTGATCGTCTTGACCGTCCACTGGCGCGAGGTGGCAGCTGGCCTCCGAAGAACGGACGATGCTGCTGGCCTCCGAAGAGTTGTTGCCCTCGCTGCCGCGGGCCTCCGGAGTGTTGCAGTCCTCGAGGCTGCGCCACCTTCCCCGTTTGCCACTGCGTTGATGCGCTGCGCATGGCGATGGCTGGCATCCCCACTCGCCCCTCCCACTAGTCACCGAAATCAAGAGGCTGCGATTTTGCCCTGGTCTGGCGGGGCCCCGCCCGCGTGGCCTCGAGGGCCGTTTCGTGTGGAGTGGCCGTTTCTTTGGGCAATGCAATAGTCCTCGTGTTTGGGGGTATCCAATGTGTCCTGGGGCCCTGGGACACTAGGGCCAGCCATCGCCAATCGCAGACCAACGCAACGCAGGTGCAAACCTGAGCGTGGCAAATAATCCAACCACGGGATCTCTGTGACCCACTTCGTGCTGCCCTCCCGCTCGTCGAACAGGAACTCGCACGCGACCATGCCCGAGAGTGCGTCGCAATACACAGCGTCAGCTTTCTGTGCGCTCCCGTCCTGCAACGTAGCCATACCGGTACTTTGGGCATGATCCCAGTAGAACACAGGCTGGAAAGATGCACCCATATCGTCGGCGCCGTCAGCATGCAGGGGTGGTTGCTTAGCTCCGTGTCCGGAGCTTTTCGCGTGGTCGTCGCCATGCTTGCGAACCGCACCTAGGACCGCGCAATCGCCCTCGTCGCAGTCCACCGTGTCGTCCTCCTCTGAATCGCTATCACACTCCCGAATCAACGACTTCGTGGCCTGTTTCATGCTCGATCCGCTGAGCGAGCCTTTAGCTGTTGAGCCTGGGGTGGTTCGGCCAGCGGGCGGCGGCGAGGGCGATGGACTGAGCGTTGTCGGCGCTTCCCCGTAGGCTTGGACGAAAGCCAGGACTGCAAACGTGAGCCTGTCCTGCAATTCCCTCTGATCCTCTGGATGTCAATCTGCATACGTTTGATAGCGTATGCCTCTGCCTTGGGGTCCTTGACAATGCCGCCGACCTTTTCATTGCTGTATAGTTTGACGCCTGCCTCGAGCGTGTCTTTGTTGAAGATCTTTGTGTACTTGAACATTGCCCGCAATAAGTCACAATGCCTCTGCAGGCAGTCTTTGTCTGTCTCGTTTGTGAGCTCTTTCTCTTTGTCCTCGTCGTCGCTACCCCTTCCAACCGCCTTGAATTTGTAGTCAATCAACTTGCCATTCTCTTGGCATCTTTTTACAGCCGAACCTCGAATATGTGTTGACAGAATGTCGCGAACTAGTTCGGGTGTAAACGTAGATTGTTGGGTGCTTCTTCCCATGGCCGGTGATTATGAAGGTTCGGAATCAAATCAACATGGAGCCAGCCTTTTGAGCCCAAAATGGCATGCGGTATACGCAGCATCATCAGCAACAGCATCATCATCATCATATGTGCCGAATCCCGTACAAGAGTTTCGCCCGAACGCCCCCCCCCCCCTCGTGGAGCCATGTGGCACACAAGAAATACTATGGACCCGCGCTCCCGAGGCCGCGATCCTTCCTAGAAACAAATACTTCCGCGCTCGCAAGGCCACGACCCACTGAAACAGTATAGGGAAGCGGGCTTCCAGGGCATACTACATGCTTCCCATGGGAGTAGCCTCTGCACCACACCACTATATGCCAAAATGACTTCAAGACCGCTCCTGTTCTAGATGGCCGCCAAGATGGCGCAATATTGCCCAAGTGGTGGTACCAAGAAGATGGCCACTTTGAGCCCAAGATGGGGGGGTCGAACGAAGTAGCAAAAAAGAAGTAATGTACATGTGCAGTCTTGCTTCTCTTTACGGTTGGAGGGGGGAGGAGGGGAGTAGTTGAAGTTTGGAGTAGGTGGAAGGAGCATGAGCAGGCATGAGAAGCACGGAGGAGGGAAGGGAAGACGGAGGCGTGGGGGAGGGGACAGGTGGGTGGAAGGAATGAGGAAAGCAAGAATGTAAACTTACGTTCTCGCTCTTGCCTGTGATTGGAGGCCATCTCGGAGCTGTCCCTCACCATCTTCTTCCCTACTCTTGCTCTCTCCCTCCTCCTCCTCCTCCTCCTCGTCATCCTCACTCACCCTTACTGCTACTCGTCAAGGTTTCGGCGAAAACGAAAGCATGGGAAGAAGGAAGGAACGCAGACAGCGGATGTCCCTAGTGTCTGTGTGGTGCACTCTCAGGGGCCCAATAGCAACTTAATACAACATGTGAGCCCGCACGGGGGGTCAAGTTGAAGGTTCAAGTTGAAGGTTCAAGTTGAAGGTTGCCTTGCCACTTGTCTTGGATGGGTTGACCAATCCAGTAAATGAATTACTTAATTCGTCGGAGGTTGAATTGGTCGGAGGTCTAGTGGATTCCTTGATGGACGAATCACTGCCTCACTGCATTACTGCATCGTTGACTTACTGGGTTGTTCAAATACTGAAACACAAGATCACCGTGCAATTAAATTACTGAGTTAACTCAATCCGGAAAGTCACAGTAAGCCGCAAAGAAAAGCAATACTGTAAAGATACATTGTTGTGTTTGTACTCCCCCCTTAACTCTTGTCGCTAGTTCCACGCATCGCTCCTCGTTGCCTCCTGCCAATTTCTCCCTCTCCTGTTGCTTCCCTCATCCTTACTCCTCCTCCCTCGAACCGCAGAGAAAATCAAAAATGTAAGATTACATTATTGCGTTCATCCTCACCCCTTTCGCCCACCAGGCGCACCAGGCGCTCCAAGCACACCATTCACACCAGGCACACCAGTGCACACCAGGGAACACCAAGCACACCAGGGCACACCACCGGGCACACCAGGCATATCACGCACACCCAAGCATACCCAAGCATTCCAGGCAAACCAATACGCCAGGCACATTGGCGCGCCGCGGGCACGCAACGCCACTCCAGCGCTGTGGAGGAGGAAAACTTGCGTTTCTTGCTTAAGAAGATCACAAGTTTTTCCTCCAACCTCGTCTGCCGAATACGCCCCACCAGCACACGGAAAACACACAGACCCTTCGTACAAATCGCGTGCATGTCTCCGCGTGTGCGTGTGTGTCTGTGCGTTTGTGTGCTTGGTGCGCTGGTGGTGTGCCCGCGGCGTGCCGCCCGTGCGTCGTGAGCGCGCTTACGTTTCCACCAGTCAAGGCCTGGTAAAACTAACAGCCTCGCAAAGCGAAGCGGATACCTTAAACCCATGGGCGTGACAAGTGGTTTCGCGGCGTCAATGTGCAGACGCCTCAAAAACACATTTTTGAAAATTTGCGAGCGTTTCCTGCTTCAAAAAAAAAGAAGAATCTGCGAAACTGATAAAACCAAATCATTACTGGGAATTTGTCCAGAATGTTGTGCGAACTCCCCCCTCCCCGACCTTTCCTTGTCACTCCTCACAATACCCCTCATCATCATGCTGCTCCTCCTCCTCCATATTCTGCAGAAAAAGTGGGTTGATTCCCGCCTCCCGGATCAATCTCCGGGAGGGCCTCAAGGGCGAGACAGGGTCAGTCCCACTGCCTCCGGAAATCAAAACACCCTTTCGGCAAAACCCCTCCCCAATCTACCGCAGTCCCAACGGGCAAGTGGCGTGTGAAGACATTAACAAGCCAGCCTGGGAATATTGGAATATTACAAGCTACAACATAGAAGTACCCAGGTAGAGCAAAAACGAAGCGCGCACCCCTAGCATAAAACTGTGCTACCACCAAACCGAAGCGGCTCACGCCCTTAAATATGAGACCAAGAAAACGAGACACCTTATTTTTTGCGAGACGCCCCAGAAAAGGAAACCATACTCAAAACATAACTGTCTTGGGCGACATCGCGGGATGAGTGATTCCGGCGACGACGCTCGCCCAATGTGACACAACATATGAGGAACAAAACGCGTCTCAAATGCAACCTCCTTGTTGCACCATACCGAGCACTCCATGCCCCTGGACCCCTTTTGCAAAGCAGGGAGCAGCAGAACACGGGTGGCACTGCATATGAGGAATAAAACGCGTCTCAAATGCAACCTCATTGTTGCACCATGCCGAGGAGGCTGCATTTGAGACGCGTTTTATTCCTCATATGCAGCGCCACCCGTGTTCTGCTGCTCCCTGCATTGCAAAAAGGGGTCCAGGGGCATGGAGTGCTCGGCATGGTGCAACAAGGAGGTTGGATTTGAGACGCGTTTTACTCCTCATATGTGGTGTCACATTGCTCGCCCAAACGCTGGACTACTCATTTCTTGAGAAATGAGTAGTTGAGTCAACTACTTATTTAAATAAGTAGTTGGGCCAACGGGGAATTGAGTGAGGAGGGCGAGGAGTTGGGGCGGAGGCTGACCAGGACGAACACGAATTGGGAAAGAGGTGATGAGGAGGGCGACTGCGAAAATGGGAGGAGGAGGAGGAGGGGGAGGAGGAACGGAGGAGGAACGGGAGCGAGAGGAACTACCCATGGGTAGGTGGGCCTTGCCTGCAGGGGCCCCCCTCCGCCGAAAAAGTCAGAGGTCAAACTATGGGGTCGAAAACTTTACCTCTGACTTCCGTGCTTTTCCCCACGACGCGAGCGAAGATCGAGATGCCCCTGAGAACCCCCCACCCCTCCGCGCGATGATGTGGGCGGCGATCAAGTGGGCGAAAACGGGTGGTATAAAGTCTGGGGATTAATTACAGGAGCAGTCGCTCTCGCAGCAAGCCCTTGCTATTCCTCGTCCCCCAAATCGTGTGGCCATCTTCTGAGATGATTCAAAAGCCCCCATTCTGCCGCGCGCGACGGGTCGCAGGTGGGTCGCGTGACGGGTCGATGAGTTTTGTTCGTTTTTTTCTGTTGGGGACCCTTTGGGGGGGAAATGTGCAGGCGGGCGGGTCCGCGGGTGGGTCGCGGGGCGATGGAGACGAACAGCAATAACAACGGTAACGATATCAGAACTTTGGGGCCGCAGAAGCCCATTGCAGGCGCGCTCATGGACCGCGTAAGACCGTTCGGCCCCCTCGCGCTGATATGCGAGGCATGGGGGCATGGCCAAGATGTGACTCGCATGCTCTACGCGTGAAGCAGCAATATCCACACCGTCGGGATGAGGAAAGAACGAGCCGAAACAGACGAGTGGATCGGAAGGCCTGGGTCTTCCTCTTCCTCTCCTGATTATATGTCGTCGTCGCTGTTGTCGTCGTCCTCCTACACCTTTTTCCGCCGTTGCCATTTTGGCCACTCTGGTAATACAAGAGAAGCCGTTCTCCTATTCTTGGATGGATCTCTTGTTCTGTCAAGAATAAACGTTCTCTTGGGTTTAGACCGTGTTGGATGCTCGGGGAATGTTTTTTGGGTGTCTCGTTTTATTGCATGCATGTTTAACCGTGGAAACGAGCCACTCTTAAACATGCGGCCAATAAAACGAGGCACCCCCGATACAGCAGAACCCTGTCTCAGCCGCGCACGCAGGGACAGTCTAAGACCGTTCGGCCCCTCACTCCAGTAAGTTTAAAATCAGTCGTTATGTTGGCGGAAGTGCAAGTTTTAGCTTGCAAATGCAATTCGATCGAATTAGCCTTGCTCATGTAAGGTCAACTCTTGAGATGTCAGAAGTGCAATTTATAGAAGATCAATTTGTGGCGGACGGACAGGGGGGGCGGGGCCCCGCGCGCGGAGCGCGCCTCTCGCGGAGCCCGGGGGCAGCCCGGGCCCGGGCAGGGGTTGGGCGCCTGCCCGAGCAGTGGCTGCACGGTCGGGCTCCGATTGGAGAGGACACGCCGAGAGGGCACCGAGACGCCGCCCACGATCACATTTAGGGGAACGAAAACTGAGCATTTTCTTAGGGTGGAGGGCTCAGGGTGAAATCCATATGGGCTTTTGCACCTCGAAAATCAATCCGTCTTGTCATTCACCTTTTTCAGATTCAAGCCTCGAACATCCGTCGAAACGGCATTTCAGATTTCACCCTTTGCCCTCCACCCAAAGAAAATGCTCGGGAAAAGGGACATAAACAAAAAGCTGGGAGGTCCGCGCGGATTTCTCGGATGCGCGCTGGGGCCCCCCGGCGGCGCCTCCGGCGCCGCCCCCAGCGCGCTCCGCGCGACTTCTGGGGGCCGCGGGGTGGCCAAACCCGAGCGCACAGAGCGCTGCTATCGTATCGCTGTCAACCATCTGGGGGTCCCATTGTGCCCGCACCAAAGGTCACTCCGGCGAGAGGTCACTCTTACATGTGGCCGAACTTCGCGCATCGGGCCCCGCGGTGGCCTCCTCGCCCCCAGGTGGGGGAAGAGGCGGCGGGGAGGGTGCCGGTAATAATAGAGGCCTCCTAGATAGAGTCCGGGCAGATGGGGTCGGAGGGTCGCGCCGCATCGCCGATGCATCCGCGATGCATCGGCGGCGTCGGCATCGGCGACGTCGGGGTGGAGAAAATGGGGCTCCACATCGAGCTGCATCGCCGCTGCATCGCCAATGCGGCGCGATGCTCCGATCCCATCCGCTCGGACTCTTTCCGGGCGGCGGCCGCCCGGCGGCCTGGACGCTGACATCACGATTCGCGCAGGTGCCGTCTTGGGCTTCTCTCCTCCCCCTCTCGGCTACACGCAGGGGTGACCCCAGGCAAGCGTGTGACCCTTGGTGCGCGGGCTACCGGGGGCGCGGGGTGGCCAAGCCTGGGCGCGCAGGCCGCTGCTGCTGCTGCACCGTCGCGTCCGGCGATCGGGGGACCACTGGGCCCGCACCAATAGGGGAACAAAAAGTGGCATAAACATAAAAACTCGGAGGTCCGCGCGGATTTCTCGGATCGGCGCTGGACCCCCCTCCCTGGCGCGCGGAGCGCGCCTGGGGCGGCGCCAGAGGCGCCGCCGGGGGGCCCCAGCGCTGATCCGAGAAATCCGCGCGGGCCTCCGAGTTTTTATGTTTATGTCACTTTTTGTTCACCTACCAAAGGTGACTCTGGCGAGAGGTCACTCTTACGTCGCCTTCCTCACCTCGTCCTCCTCGTCCTCCTCCTCCTCGTCCTCCTCGTCCTCCTCCTCCTCCTCCTCCTCCTCCCCCTCCTCCTCGCCCCCTGGTCGACCCTCGCGCCTCCGCGTCGGGCGTCAGGTGGAAGAGCACCTGCGGCGCAGCGGGCCGGCCGGTGTTTTCGGCGCGCCTCGGCGCACGGCTCCCCGCGGGCGCCCGGCACGGACGGGGACGGGGACCAGGGCGCAAAAGAGGAAAGAACCCTCCTTCCTCCTCGTGCTTTCTTACTCCTCCTCCTCCTCCTCCTCCTCCTCCTCCTCCTCCTCCTCCTCCTCCTCCTCCTCGTGTTTTCTTCCTCCTCCTTTTCCTCGTCCTCCTCCGTTTCCTTCTTCCTCCTCCTCCTCCTCCTCCTCCTCCTCCTCCTGCTCCTCCTCCTCCTCCTCCTGATTCCCGATGGCACGAGCATCCCTCGGATGCTGCCACGTGCCCCGTCCCAGGGGCGGTCGCCCCCGGGAAGGGGCTCAAACCACAGGGCAGCTGTTGAGCAAAAAGGAGAAAGAGAGGCTCTCCAGAGGGGGGAAGCGGGCCCGTGCGGCCCCTGGAGGCGGGGACGGCTTGCGGCGGCTGTGAGCTCTCGGTCCACTGCCGCCCTGTCCGACCGCACACCCCGTGTCCCAGCCACCCACCCCCGTTGTCCTGGCCACCCGCAGGATGGCTCGCCGGCGCCACGGGCGCAGGCGGAGGGGGTGGAGGCAGGAAGAGGAGGCAGGGGAGGAACGCGAAGAGAGAGAGAGAGGGAGAGACAAAGAGAGACAGAGAGAGAAAAAGAAAGAAAGAAAGAAAGAAAGAAAGAAAGGAAGAAGAAAGAAAGAAAGAAAGAAAGAAAGAAAGAAATAAAGAAAGAAAGAAAGAAAGGAAGAAAGAAAGAAACACAACAAGAAGGAATGGCTGAATGCGGTGGCCGGCGGTGGCGAGCTCGCTGGCGAACCGGAGGTTGCTGGGCCGGCAGCGGTGGCGTGCTCTCAGAGCGTGGCCGTGGTTGAAAATGATCCGTCAGGGAACCGCTGGGTTACTGATGTGGGCGGGCGGGGGGGGTGGCAGCAACAAGCAAAGGCTAAGCTCGTGTGGTGGGACTTATCTGGTGGCACGCTGGCTCTGGCAGGATTGCCGTTGACACTGGAAATTGCGGAGCTGCGACGCTCGCTATGAATGTCGAATGGGCATCATGTTGCATTATTCGCTGGCCGGGTCGCGCCGACACGGCTGCTGCCGACCAATATGGTTGAGATCTCGTCGCCACCATTCCCACCCCCAAGCTCCGACCCGTAAACCGACTCCACCGACGACCCCGTGCACAAAACCGCCTCCTCCTGCGTAAGCGAAGGTAGTTGCCCAGTGAACAGGCAGCTGGGCAGGTGCGTCGTCTGCGAACCAGAGGACCTGTCGCCTTACAAAAAAAAAAAAAAGCCCGCCCCGAAACATTGGTGACTATTTTGAGCGGGCCCCAAAGCAGTCTCTCTCCCGGCCCATCCGTGGGTGGACGGCGGCACGCTGGACAGCCAGGCAGGTGCGCCGTCTGCGAACCAGAGGACCTGTCGCCTGAAACAAACGCCCGCCCCAAAACAGTCCCCCGGAGCGTTTCCGGTGACTGTCTTGAGCGGGCCCCAACGCAGTCTCTCTCCCGGCCCATCCGTGGGTCGACGGCGGCACGCGCACCCCCCGGCCCCGGTGCCGACTCCTATCGATCGGCGGCGCGGGCGAGCGAGGGGGGCGATGGGGGGGCCCTCGGGGGACGGCCGCGGCGGCGGCGACCCGAGGGGCGAGAGATAACTGAAGGGGGGCCTGGGACACACAAAGAAAGACACACAAATATAACAGGATCCCCCATGTTTTCCCATATTTTCTGGGGTGTTGTCTTCCACCCCACTTCCCATATTTTCCCATATTCTCTGGGGAATCGACGATTAATTGTGCCTGTGTGTCTTTTCCCTCCGGACTAACGAGGAATGTGGCGCAGTGATGCGGAGGGGGGAGAGGTCAGTCTGGGCGCAGGTTGGAGTGACGGCCGGCTGCGCGGTCGCCTCCTCTTGGGGTTCGGCGGTTCGGCCCCAGCGGCCTCCACGGAGCCCAACGCCAGTGCAAGCACGGTACAGGACCACTGCGCATGGGGTCCATCTCTGCGCTTCTTGCTGGTTCGTCTCCGGTGTAGCACCGTCGAGCCCCGCATTGCCAAAAGTGCAGGCTGCCGCGGGTGAGGGTCCGTGAGCTGGCGAGCAAAGCTGGCGGCATCGGGCGGTAAAAAGCGGGCGAGGCCGTCTGCACAGAGAGTGCAGTGCGGCGCAGGAAGCAGGCGACGGGACACAGCGGGGTATTCAGAACGCCTGGGGGAGCCAGGACCCAAAATGTTAAGGGACGCAGGAGGGATACCCCAAGCTGAGCGCTGCCGCTTGCGATGCCTGGCGGGCGGGGGGGGTCCCAAAGCTTGTGAGGAATTCTGCATGACGAATGTGGGCTCGAGAGTCCTGGGCGCACGGCCACCCTGGCCCTGCAGCGGCAGCCTGTGGCGTGAGCTCCCCTCCTCCCCCGCGCGTGCCCGTCCCCACCACCCATCCCCACCACCGAATGGAGTCTAAGGATGGATGGTGGCGCGCCGTCCGCCCTCGCCATTTGAATCTTCGAGTCGCTCTTCCAAGTCTCGGTGGAAGATCTGCCAGGGCTGTAAGGGAGAACCGTCCAGGCAGCCACCATGACCCGCCTCCACCTCCTCGTCCCCCCCGCGCTCCTCGACAACAAGGGCCTCCACCTCCGACCCGACGTGACCGACAGCCGCCGCCACCTCCTCCGGGTTGGGGGTGTAGTCGCTGGCGCCGTCGCTGGCTTCGGCATCGGTGGTGTGCACGCATGGCCCTCAACGGCAGGGCGGTGGCGAATGCGGGGGCTCCGCCTTCGCCGCTGCCCTCATAGGGTGCCGTGGTGGAAGTCTCTCAGCGCGTCTGGGGCTTCCAGCGTGCACGTGGCTCCCTGCGTGTCCGGGGCTCCCAGCGTGACCAGGGCCCACCTGTCCAGGGCTCCCAGCGCGTCCGGGGCCCAGCGGCGGGAAGGTAGGGCGGCAGGATCGGCAGATCGAGGGACGGGACGAAGGCGGGCGGATCTCCCCGCAAGCTGACAACGCCCTCGCGCTGGTTGGGATGAGTGGCCTCTTGTGCCACGTCGGCCTTGGGTTCGCCATGAAGGACGTCGTCGCCGAAGTGGTCGGCGGGCGTATCTGCACGTACAGGTGCCGGCCGGACAGGCAGGTGGCGAAGCGGCAGCGGGACCCGTCTGCAGGCTCATGTTCCTGTGGATATATCCTGGGAGTGCGCGACGCTGTCCCTACTGCACTCGGACGCTGTCCCTACTGCACTCGGCGCTGTCGCCCAAGTCGCGCGGGTGGCCGTGGCGCGAGCGGCGGTGGCTGTAGGCGGGGCACGCCGGAAGAACGACGATATCCCTGGCCGAAGGCTGTCCCCCTTCGTGCGCGGTGTGCGCCAACCAGCGCGCGGCAACCCGTCGAAAGTCTTCTCACGATTGTGGGTGTGTCTCGGCCGCTTCTCCTCCTCCTCCTCCTCCTCCTCCTCCTCCTCCTCCTCCTCCTCCTCCTCCTCCGCCTCCGCCTCCTCCTCCTCCCTCTCCTCCTCCTCCTGCTCCTGCTCCTCCTCCTTCTCCCTTCTCCTCCTCCCCCTTCTCCGCCTCCTAGCCATAGAGCCCGTATGAGGGCCCAGGCAATTTGATATTGCTTTCTTCACCATTCATAACGCTGTCGCACATGTGTCCACCATCTCGAGCGTCTTCTTATCCCTATGCGGCCGAAGGGGGGAGGCGAGAGGGGAATCTGGCTCTGGGCTGGTGCCTGGTCGATCTGATTGGAGGGTCGGCTGGAGGAGGCTGGCTTGGTGGGGAAGCCAGGCTCCTGGCCGAGGCTTCGCTGGGTGCTGCGTGAAGGGGCTGAGCAATGGATGGGCAGGATTGCGCTGCCACCGCTGCGCAAGACGATCTTCTTCTTTCTCTGAACGCGTCTGGCGCACTGGAGGCCTGCTTCGATCTTTCCGAGGGAGCCCCCCAAAGTGGTACACAGCCGTGCGAAGCAGCGCTTCGCGTGTCCAGAGGGGGGTTGGGGGCGGGCCTGGCCCCCAGTGCTTTCTCCACCTGATGGAAGCTATCGCTCAAATCAGCCAACATTTACTGTGAAGGGGAAGGGGGGGGTTGGAAGAGGAGAAGGGAGGGGTCGAGGGCACGCCGACCGGCGAAACGATTTCAAAAGACACGTTCAACTGGAAATGCTGTGATTCAATCTTTCGTGGCCGAAGCATTAGACGCAATGGGCTTGTCCGTCTTCCAGAAGCAACTTCCACGAATCCACTCGCGAGAACTCCAGCATGCTCCAAGCACAAACAGCCGGTTCCAGGACAAACAAAAGAGATCCTCCGCCGGCCAAAACACCCCCAAAAAACGATCACTCGAGAATGCCCTCCCCCTAGATGCATAAGAACATCCAACAAACACAAACAACGAAAAGCATCCGGGTACCCTCCCTGAACCGACTTCGATTTTCTACCTCGGCCCGACCGCAATCAAGATTGCGCACTGGATGATACATCAGTTCCGCCAACATATGATATGATCACGGATCTGCACCGACATGTGACTCGAATACGGTGGGGAGCTTCTGCTCAGCGTGTCGCGGCGGTGGCCCTGGTGACCTGCGAACGGACAGCGTGTCGCTCCGTTCCGCGGGGCGCCAAGTCGGGCAAGGCTAAGGACGTTGATGCTGGGGGACTGAAAAATGGACAGCACATCGCGCAGAAAAGTGGTGGGTCAGAACCGGCGGCGCAACACGCTATCCAAAAGTTCCCAACCGTAGCTCTAACATGCTCCAGACACAAAATCGGCATTGGGCCGTGGATGATACACCAACTCCACCGAGATGTGAAATGATCACGGATATGCGTCAAAACGTGATTCGAATATGTTCCGCAGGCGGAATCCAGCCCACCGGCGTCGAACACTCATGTATTGCTTCCCGAGTGCGTTGGGCGGCGGCGGGATCATGTGGAAGCGTTTGAGAACAACCCGAAGCGAATGGCGAAACGAACGGAAACACCCTTAGACTAGAAACCTAGACGATGCAACAACATTAAGTCAAGCTTTAGGAAGATCCGCGCGGATTTCTTGAATCGGCGCAGGGCCCCCCCTCCCTGGCGCGCGGGGAGCGGCGCCAAAGGCGCCGCCAGGGGTGCCCAGAGCCGATCCAAGAAATCCGCGAAGAACTCCGATGTGCATGCCGTTTTGTTCCTTGCCGACAAATCCCCCCTGCCCTCCGTGAGCGCCCCCGACATGGGGGGGATGAGGAAGAGGAGGAGGAGGAGGAGGAGGAGGAGGAGGAGGAGGAGGAGGAGGAGGAGGAGGAGGAGGAGGAGGAGGAGGAGGAGGAGGAGGAGGAGGAGGAGGAGGGGGAGGAGGAGGAGGAGAAAGAGGAGGAGGAGAAGGACGAGAACAAGGAGGAAAAGGAGGAGAAGGAGGAGGAGGAGGAGGAGGAGAGGAGGGGGAGGAGGAGGAGAAGGAGAAGGAGGAGGAGGAGGAGGAGGAGGAGGAGGAGGAGGAGGGAGGAGGAGAGGAGGAGGAGCAGGAGGAGGAGCAGGAGGAGGAGGAGGAGCAGGAGGAGGAGCAGGAGGAGGAGGAGGAGGACGAGGAGGAGGAGGACGAGACGACGACGACGACGACGACGACGACGACGACGACGACGACCACGACGACGGAAGCGGCGCAGGCGCGCGGCTCGGCGGCTGGCCCGCCTGGCGCACGGCCGCGCGAAGCGACAGCCCAGCCTGGGGTTCCAACGGGCGCCGCAGGGGGCGATCGCAGGGCGCCGGGCACGAGCACGATCGGAGGGACAGGGCGAGAATTCAAACGCAAAGCAGGACGTAAAAATCATGTTTTCACGCTGTGTGTTGGGGCGGCGTCAAGATACTATAGCAAGGCTGTGTAGCGGGCGCGGAAGGCATGCCTTGGGCCAACCGGCGGCGGAAAAACAATGCCCTCGCACACACTGCGTTCGCTGATAGCCCACCGTTCGAACATGGTGTTCAAGCGGGTCCGTTGTGCCTCTTTGGCAGACCGGACGCAAAGCGTCCAGACCACCAACAAGGCACCACGAACTGACTAAACAGTTACATTGTCAGGGGACCTTCTACTGACCAGGCTCCAATTTTGGTGCAAGGGGGGTGCATAAACCTGCTTCGACAGGTGGCGTAGATGACGGACATCGCTCCACCCCAAAGAAGATTGGCCCCCACGGCGCCAACCGCAAAACCTTTTTGTTTATTACGGCGCCCGTGCGGAGGGGTGAAATTATTCCCGTCATTGTTCAGGGGACTAGCCAGATCTGGTCCACGAACACCTTTCAACAATGGCAGCAGACAGTTGTCAGCGCAAACGGCCTGACACTCACCGTCACATGCTGCTTTTCGAACACCGCTCAGGAGAGCAACCTCTAATCGGTGTGGCTCACTCCGTTGCAATTGCGAACGTGGTTCTCCTCATGCGAGGATCCCCATGCTTCCCTCCTTGATGTAATGTGCCGCAATCGCGAACATAGTCCAGGTCTGCGACAGCAGACTGGTCGTTCGCCTTGGTGAGGTCGCTGCAGCTGGAGCTCGGCGCGGATTTCTTGTTGCGCTCCTCGTCAAGCCCCATCGCGGCGTGAACGTAGACGAGCTTCCCCTTCATGACGTCGAGGATGAATTCCTGGCTGGCGCCCCCCTTCGTCATGGAGTCGACCCTCATGTCACGGGCGTCGCTCGGATAGCTGTTTGGTGAGCAGCTGGTCTGCTAGCCACCATGGGCGGCCGGCCATGCTATTTTTCGATGGCGGGCGCACGTGGTCCATGGCCAGCGCGGAGAAGACGGACGTGCCGTCCACGACCAGCTCGGCCGGTAAAGCGCCCCCCCCCCCCCCCCCCCCCTCCCTCAGTCTCCTGATCTCGTCTGCCGAAGTGGATCCGCGCGCCATCTTGCGGAGCGTGAGGAGGTGCGCCTGTAGACAGTCTGCTGATCCACGCGCGGCGAGCAGCTCAGAGCCGAAAGATGATCTTCACGCGAGTATGTGAGATCTGCTCACAGCGACGAGCTAGTGGCACTTCTGTTTACCAGTGCTGCGAGACTTGACCAAGCGCATGTATACGGCGCCGCTCACGCCGTAACCTCTCTCCTCCTCGCGCTTAAGGGAACCGTCGCTACGCGCGCAGATCTGGCCTGTGCACTCCATCGGCGGGAAGACTATGGGCGATTGTCTGCGTGGTCAGATCTGCGGAGTTGAGCTGCACGATGCGTCCGATGAGCAACTTGTCCCTGGCCTGCTGCAGCGCGACGATGTGGACGGCGCACTTGCGTTGCGCGAGCAGCGGATAGGCGGCTGCTGCGAGCAGGGAGACACAGTGGTCCGGGAGTGGCCCCTCGGCCAGCGGGTGGGCCTTCGATTCGACATAGCCGACATGCCTGATGGGGATCAGCGCGTCGATGAACTCGCCCTGGTCGAGTGTCGCAGCGCCGTAGTCGCCGCGGTGTTGGTGGGCACCGCAATAGGTAAAGTCGTCGTGGCCACCTCTCATTTGTCCGAAGACGCCCCCGACGTGGCCGATGAGGCGGTTGACGTGTTCCTTGCGCCCAGAGGCCCCGAGGTCGCCAGCGTGCTTCGACAGCATGAGCACTCCCCCACGGGCGCGCCATCGGGGTCAACGTGCGACGCGCTGGGGTCGTCGCCCCAGAGAGCCGGGGACCCCCCCCGCAGACGGAGCAAGATGCCCCCGTCCAACGAGGCCTCCAGGATGAGAACAGCTAGCGAGGACGCGCCGCTGAATATCATGGCGCCACACTTGCACCCCTGGCGGCCGCCAATCCGGGCAGCAATGGCGGCGGCCACATCGCCGCAGGAACCGCGAAGACGCGCGGGGGTCCCCGAGCAAGCGGGCGACCTTCGGGCCGACGCCCCGCCGGGCGAAGAGGCACCCATGCTGGGCCACCCACTGGGCGACCCAGGCAGCCTGATCCGAATACAGGCCAAGAGGTCCCAGACATGCCTCTGGGTCATTGGCCCCGCGCGGCCAAGCTAGCACCACCTCGCGGATGATGCGATCGCAAGCCTCTGCCAGGTCGACGAACCAGCTGAAGTGCGACCGCCCAGCGGCGGCGCAATAGGCCTGGAAGCAATGTGCAAGGTGGGGCGCGTAATCCGCCCCCGTGCCAGCAACCGCGCCGCGTTGCATCTCGGGGATATTGGCCTCGTGCTGGCTGGCGTGGCTGCGTGGTCCTCAATCGCGAAACCACTTGATTCGTCACAATCGGCAAAGGGCCGTTGCGCTTGTGAGCGTTCTTCACGCGGCTGCCCGCCCACTGGACAGGCCACCCTTCCGCGTCGACGATTTCCTGATGCAGCGTGGCCAACAGCGCCGCCAGAGCTGGCCCTCTGGCCGCCAGCAGCTCGGCAGGCGCGCCGTCGCGCCCAACCTCCCTGTTGTTCCCAAGCTGCCGGAGCGATGCGCTGACTTTATTTGGCGTCACCATGAGGGTGGGGGATGCGATTGGCGCCTCCACGGGCTGCGATTGCAGCTGGCCCATGGGGGTCATGGCGCCGTCGAAGACGTCGCAAAAATGTTCCTACCGTCGCGCCTGCCGCTCTGGCTCCGAACTTCAGAGTGCGCTGGGCGAGAGGGGCGCAGGGTGGCCCGCTGCTCTGGCCGCTCGGCCGCCGAGCCATCAGGCGACGCCGAAAGTGCCTCGCCAGTCACAAGTCACCGTGTGCAGCTTTAGCTGCTCGCTGGGCTTGTAGCTTCACGCTGGGCCTCGTGGTCTTCGTCCCCAAGGAACAACTGGCGGTCGAAGTGGATGAAGTGCTTGACCAAATGCGCTTGCGGCTCCGCGCGACGGCGCCGATCAGTCGCCGCAGACAGCCGACGCGGTGCAGCGGCCGAATTGCGCACTGCGCGGCCCAGCCCAACCTCGTCTGCGAGGTAGAGCCCATGCGGAAGGCAGTCGTGCGTTGCGCGGCCCAGCCAAGGAAGATCTCGCGGAAGAAGGCGCGGTGGGCCCCCCGGCCTGTGGCGCGCGAGCCCGGCGCGACCCGGCGCCGGCAAGCGCAAGATCGACCGCGCGCCTTCGGAGATTCATGGCTGATGAGGGCGGCCCTCAGGGCGGCCGGTCGCCGCGCGAGCGGCCGCGCGCGCCTGAGAGGGCAGCGCGAGCGCCTTCTCGTCGATAGACGCATCGACGGGGGCCTGGAGCTGGCTCAGCGCGGTCTGGCTCGATTGGACCCGGGCCGGGTTTCCGGGCCGCCATTTGCTGAAGCAGAACGCGTCGGGCTCGCGCGCGCGCTCCAGGGGGGCCAACATCGGGGCGGCAGCCGCGACGAGGCGATGGCCCTCCGTGGCTGCGAGCAACAGCTGCGCGTCGCGCGGGCCGGAGGAGCGGGGCGCTCGGGGGCGCTCGTCCAAGGGGCCGCGCATGTAGCCCCTGTGAGACGCGGGGCCTTTTCTAGACCGCCCCGCGCGCCCCTCGTCGTAGATAGCGCTGCTGGCGGCCAGCCTGAGACGAGCGAGCGCCGCGAGCAGGTCGGAGCCGTTGTCTGCGAACGGCTCGGAGCCGCAGGTGCCGACGGCCCCGGAGCGGTCGGAGCCGACCCTGCCATTGGCGTCGGTGCCAAGGAGCATCCTGACAGACGGTGCGCGGGGCCGGAGCGTCAGCAGCGCGCGGAGCAGCATGTCTCAAAAGGCATCCCGCTCGGCAGCGGGAGCGCGGTCGCCTGGCGCATGGGCGCTGGCGACAATAAATGGGATGCCTTTCGCATCGCGGCCGTCGCCCAGCAGAGGCGGCTGGGGGGTGCGGCGCAGGGGGGCGCGCGAGATCCGGCCGCAGTGCGGACCCATATCTGGCATCCACGCCCGCCTGGCGCTGTCAGCGGCATTGACGTGCATGCTGCAGCAGAAACCCCGTCGCACATCGGCAGCCCGTGAGCGGCCTTCCTGCACCAAGACGAAATCGAGGTTGTCTTTCTGGAACTAGTGCTCTGACCTGGGCGCCAGCAGCTGCTTCTTCTTCAGGGCGCAGGGTGCACGCGTTGCCGGTGGCAACGCGACATGTCGAACGCGCCATCGTAGACGGGCGACTCGGCGCCGGCGCCTTGTATGCCGCTGGGGGCGAATGAATCGTCGTAGGCAGCCGGATCGCAGACATGCGACTGCTGACTGCGCGCGCCGGCTGGCGCTCAGAAGGCCATGGCGGACCGGGAGTGCAGCGGGCCGCCCGCGGGGCGGCATCTACGCAGTCTGAAGGGCCCCTGAGGAGGCAGGAAACCCCGCCGACTCCATGCCGATGGCCTCGATGACCTTGCGCCTGCTGAAAGAGTCGGTGATCTACTCCTTTCGCGGCTGCTGGCCGCGGCGGCGCGCCAGCGCGCCGGGCTCGGCGGGGAGCGGAGCCGCAGGAGGGCTCCTGGCGGCACGGGGCGCCTCCTCGGAGACAAGGGGCGTACCGGCAACAGCTGAAAGAGTGGCCTCGGCCTGTCGTAGCGTACCCCGAAAGTCGTCGAGCAATTGTTTTACGTGCGTCTTGGCGGCCTCGATGTGCCCTGGGTGGACGTGCTCGTCGGCCGTGAGCTGGTCGATCATCGTGCCCAGGATCGCGTGCGCCTGGGTCTCGGGCGTCGCAGGCGCCTCGATGGTGACCTCCCTTGTGAGAGAGGTCGCCAGCTCCCGGAGCTCCTCACGAGCGCACTGACCTGGCATGCGGCAGTTTGCAGTAGCTGCCAGGTCACCGCCACCGCCTGCTCGGCCTC